GCAGTCAGAAAAACTGAAAGGGCAGAGCCATCTCAACCTTTTGACATCAAGATGTGGAGTTACAGGATTTGGAGTTTGCCCTGGTGGGTTTTGATTTTGCTTTGTTCCAGTATTTCTTCACAATGTCTCCATCTCTACCTTTTGTAATGTTTCTCTTTGCTCTTTGCCTTTGTATGTTGGAATGTGTAATTGACTTTTTGGTTTGAGAAGGATTTACAATGAAGAGATTGTATGAGTCTCAGAAGAGATTTTAAACTTTTTATAAATGGTTCATTTTATTTATTTATTTTTTAAATTAAATGAATCACTCATTAAATTTCCAAAATGTTAGAAATATTTTACTTGCCTCTTATGCTCTCTTTTTACATTTTATTTCTCCATTAAGAATCTTCCTAACAGACCTACCTGATGGTGAGAGTGGTGTATAAAGTGTTCCAGTATCAGTGTATTTGGTTTGATATGTGCTTTAAACTATTGAAAGGTTTCTTTTTACAAAAGTGTCCTTGTATTTCAGACATAAATGTTCAGAATTGATAGAGTCCAGAAGGACATAATATTACCTAAATAAACAGAAAATGCCTTGTAAGCAATTTCCAAAACTCTAGAATTGACAGGAACATCTTGCTGCCTGGACAGTCACCCAAAGTTCTTCTGTAACATTGAGACATCCATCTTCAGCCTATAGGCCTATAGATCCTGCAGACTTTTCCATGAAGCAGCAAATTTCATAGACAGTTCAGCTTCTATTGACAATTTGTCAGTCACTGTCTTCTGTATTTTGCAGAATATCTGTCAGACTCTTTCATGAAGCAGGAACCCTGAAGGACTATTTCACCTTCTTTAGGCAACTTCAGCAGTAATTTTTCTGTGGATCTTGAATGTCCAGTTTATACAGCATACCATCAAGCAGTTCAGGCAAGAGCAATGTCTTGCTCAAATAGCTAACAAACTCTATAAGAGCCCCTTTGATGTCCATCATCCTCTTGAATAGATTGGTGCTTCCAGGAGCACATGAGTCTCATTATTATGAAAATAACAAGTTCTTAAAACGTTTTAAATGCCATATTCTGTTAGTATTTGAGAGGTTTTAAGAATTAATATTCATCTGAAATATATTTCTGTGCATCTATGGAACCTGGCCATTATGGCTCCAAGCCTGATTATTATAAATGAATACTTATTAATCTATAATTTTAATTATGAATTACATTTTTAAATGAGCTGCAGAAACACAATACCTTAAACAAGAGCAGAAATGTATATAACAAAATTGACCTTAAATTGCATCAATAAACCAAGATCCATACCAATTTGAAATATTATTCTCTATAACATATCTGTCTTTAAATGTAAACAAACATTTATAAACAATCACTTAAGGAATTAGGGCATTGTTCTCTAAATAACATATAGAGGGGAAGCCCACATCATCCCTGACTCTGCCATAGGCATATCTGCTTGGAATTCCCACCCTGATCTATTCTGCACTGCCATAGGCCCAAAGCAGCTTCTTTATTAACCAATGGTAATAAAACATATTCACAGCATACAGATTGGAATCCCACATCATAAGGGAAATCTGTTCATGATGTACATCAAACCATTGATCTGTCACTTGAGCAGAGTTTTCTTCCTGGTCTAAAATACTTTCAGATTTTTGTATATGACAATTAGCTTGGTCATAGTTGTGTTACTCAAGGATGGGGGTAAGTGATGGAGACACTCCCTTGGCCACCAAGACAACTAATGAACATATGTGTAGCTCAGTCTCATAACCACAGCAATATACACATTTTTGCAAGGGACCATGTACCTACAATATAATTGGTAGTGATGTGGGCAGATACTCAAAGTTGTCTAATGAATGCATAGGTCTCAGATGCTGCTTCATGCAGCTCTATCTTTAGTCATGGTCTGTGTTCAGAGCTTCCTTTGCTAGTAGTATTAGATCATTTTCTGAAAGACTTGGCATGGAGCTCTAAACAAAACCCTCTACTCTTCTCCTTGCATTCTCTGCAGCAGGTAAAATCTTACTCCTCCCTCAGCCTCACACACACCACTGAATGGTGGGTATTAAAGAAAGATGTTTTCTATTTGAGAATGCTGCTCTAGAGACTCAATTGTGAACTTAGATTTGGAGGTAGTCAAGCATGGGCTCTATCCAACACTGAGCTTCACAAAGCAGGTCTGATAGTAGCATTTGAATTAAAGCTTAGACTTAATTTTTTGTCAGTTCCGCAAAATTATAATATCCATGTACACGTCATGGTGGTCAGAGTTAGGAGTAGTATTACAAGCAGCCATTTCCTTTTTATCTTCACTAATGTACCCTGTAATTTAATCACACTACAATGAGAAACTTTGCTTGCTTACCCATTTCCTTAGCTGTTGTTAATAACTGTGCATCTTCATGTGACTATGAAGAAATAGTCACTCAGAATCATACTGGGCCAAAATACTGCTCTACTTCTCATTTTATTAACTTCATATACACATTGGAAACTCTAGGTTGATAAATAAATATTTAAAATTTTAAACTTTTATTTTCTATATGCTTGTGTATTTTTATTAATGCAATGATGTAGGTACACTGAATAAGGTTTGGAAGTCAGAAGAATACCCTCATGAGTTAATTCTCCAGAGATACTTTGTGAAAAATCAGAAATAAATCTCTGGTCATCAGGTTGGAAGAGTTTCTGCCCTGAGTCAGCCCATAAATAAATATTGTAAAGAATATCATGCCAGGGCAAAAAAATGTAGTGATTAAAAAAATATTCAATTGAGTCAAAGAAGATCAAACAATATTAGAATGCAAAAGATCAAAATACTGAAGAAAGGTGAGGTTATAGTTCATTGTTCATGAAAACCTGTGCTCAATACACACAAGTACAAACATAAATGAGTGAAATATCTCAAACACATAAGAGCTGTGTATTTTCAATAATAATATACCTATGTAAATATGCATTATCTAAAATGGAAACTAAATACAAAGACTTGTGGTACATTAAATATGAAGATCAACAGAATTATCTAAAACATACACGGTATTTCTCTTGGTTTCCCTCCCAGAGGCACAAGGTAAGGCCCTATTGATGAGGACATAATGCAATTCGGACACAGAGTTCAGTGGCCCCTGAGATGGAACTGAATTCCATCTTAGGGAGTGGCTCCTTCCTAAGAACAAGTTTTACAGAACAAGAAGAAACCATACAAACTTTCAAAGGAGAGGAACAACCAATAGTCCTATTAAGCTATAAACTATAATAATGTCCAGCATGTTATGATTACCATAAGGGTAAATAGTGGTAAACATACCTAGGAGATAACCAACAGTTCTGTAATCACATTTAAAATGAGCTCTTTTCATGAAAGAACTCATGCCTAGTATTGAAAATGTAGTTATCAACCCAGGGATACTTAAATCATTGCTCTTGGATGAGAACCTATAACTACCGTTTGACTAAAGCAGGAAAACCATTAAGTAAAACCTAGATTTTTGTACTCATACTTATTGATAAGTATAGTTCCCACCCTTCATCAAAGAAACTTCTTTTTAAGCTGGGTGGTGGTGGCACACACCTTTAATCCCAGCACTGAGGAGGCAGAGGCAGGCAGATCTCTGTGAGTTCTAGGCCAGCCAGGTCCACAAGAGTTCCAGAACATGCTCCAAAGTCACACAGAAACCCTGTCAACCCCCCCCCCCAAAAAAAAAAGAAAAGAAAGAAACAGGAAAAGAAAGAAAAATAAAAATTCTTTTTGTAGCAGACAGAGACCAATACAGAAAACCACAAGCACTCAAAATACAGTAGTGGAGGCCAGTCCTAGTAAATACACCTATAATGCAACTCATGTACCTAAGGCTTTGGTATCTTTGAAGAACAGGTAAGATGGGTGACAGAAAGTTATTAAAAGCAAGAGGACCTAGAGATTTGTTGTGAGATAGTGTCTCTTGGTAATATCAAAAGCTATACCCATACAGTCTCACTGATGTGATTGACTAAACATGAGCTGAACAACGATAGCAAAAATAAGCATGCCAAACTAGATGGGGGTAAAACCACAAGGCCTTGATCCTACACAACAAACTACAGACAATTAAGGAGTGTGGAAAGTGGCTGAACACATCAACCGCCTACAAAAGTATCAAGTGTGAAAGCAAATAAAATATAAACCAGCACATTATTTATAGGAATATATGTGTGTGTATGTATACAAAAACAGTTGCTGATAAAAGAGATCATTATGGTAATACAAAGCAAGGAGGGAGGTATGAGATTATTTGGAGGGAGGAAAAGGAAGGGAAATTATGATAATCTCAAAATATAAAAGAAAAATATAACATGACTATAAAGCCCCAAAAATTTTGCCACCAGATGCCTATTTGAAAATAAAGCCATTTCAGCTTAATATTAAGTGATGGACAAATAAATATCACTATACGCAAAAAGTATGTTTTGCAAGTTTATTGAATAATTATTCACAATATCCAAGACAGAGTTTTAAACAAGACAAGGAACAATGGATTATTGATCATGAATCTGTAAAAGTCACATGCTGAACATGATTACTCAAATGCTAAGATCAAGGAGTCTTTGTCATTTGCTGTAGTATGGGTGATTTAATGTAATGTACATTGTCCTATGCCTTTAACATGAATGTGAGGAGAAAAATATCACATAATCTCATTTACAAGTAGACTGCATATTAAAGAGTCCATGTATAGAGATGGTAACAGTTAAGTCTTTTGGTGAATAAGGTATAGAAAAGGAATAACATAGGTTAATAACATTGAGTATTATAAATGCAAGATGAAGTGACATTCATTGTCTTAGTTAATTTTCTGTTACTGTGATGAGACACCATGAACAAGATAACTTTCAAAAGCAAACATTTAATTTGGGGACTCATCCTTCAGTCCATGACCATCATGGCAGAGAACTTGTCAGCAGGCAGTCAAGCAAGCATGCAAATGTAGCAAAAGCTTACATCTGAGCTTACTTCTGAAACACAAGCATATTGTGGAGAGGATAGAGTGCAAACTGGGAAAGACAGGTTTTTAAAATCACAAAAGCCTACCCCAAGTGACATATCTCCTCCAACAAGCCCTGATCTCATGGCCTTTCCCAAACATCCTACAAATTTGGACCAATCAATCAAATACATGTGCCTATTCGACTCATTATATTCAAACCAGAACAATCCACTCACTGGCATGCATAGGCTTTTGCTGTTATCATAAGAGCCTGGCAGTAGGCCAACAAGTAGGCAAGCATGGTACTGAATAAATAGCTGAGTATATTCATCTGGTCCACAAGCTTAATACAGAGAGAGAAAGGAAAATTAAGAGAGAAAGAAGGAAAAAAAGAGAGGAAATGGAAATAAAGTAGTTTTTTGAAACCTCAAAGTGCACCCCTGTTGTCAGAGGCTTTCTGTCCTGTCTGGTTTCTGTCCTCCCACCAGGTCCCATAGCCTTTTAGCCACAAAGAAATTACACAAAGGTCTATATTAATGATAAACTGATTGGCCCATTATCTCAAGCTTCTTATTAACTCTTATAACTTATATTAACCCATTATTCTTATTTATGTTGGCCACATGGCTTGGCACCTTTTTCAGCAGGGCAATCACATCTTCCTTCTTCTGTGGTTGGGATAGGATTGGGGAGGAATGGGCTTCCTCATTCCCAGAGTTCTCCTGTTCTCATTGACCCACCTCTACTTCCTGTCTGGTTGTCTCACCTATACTTCCTGCCTGACTGCAGGCCAATCAGCATTTATTTAAAACATAATTGACAGAATATAGACAATTGTCCAGCACCACTGCCGCAGTGACACATCTCCAAAACTGAGGTCCCACCTCCTCATCATTTCCAAACAGCTTCACAAAGTGGGGACCAAGAATTAAAATATATGGCCCTATGGGGGCCATTGCGATTCAAACCACCACAGTAGTAAACAGCATGAGATCTCTATGAAATAACAGTGCATTGCACACAAGTCTTTTGCTAAAATTGAAGCTTAATCACAAGGAAAGAAATGAATATGTATATGAGATGATGTATACATTAGTTTGTTCAACTGTAACAACCATTTCACAACATATATACCAATCTTCATGTTACAAGTCTCCAATCTATAATCTAAATTTTTGTTCAGAACAGAAATATAGACAGTACTGACCTCTGAGGGAAATAATTATGATTATACAGGAAATGGAATAAGCAGAGTAAAGAGACCTCCTAAGCCTTCATTGCCTCTCAGTCCTCTACCCAAACTCTCTTAAGGAAATTTGTCAGTTTTCAATTTGATCAAACTGTGTTCTCTTAATTGTGCTTCAATTGAAATTATCATACACTTCAGCTTTAAAATGTAAATATCATTTTATAGAAAAATGTTACTAAAATAAGCATTTTTCAAGTAATAAATATATGGACTCTGTTAATGGCATAAATTTGAAGCAAGTTTGATTTCAAGGAAACCTAGTCTAAAGAACCTCATTAAAAATTTGTCTTAAGGCATTAGACAGTCAGGGAGAGGGGAACCATGACAAAGAAAAGAGGGAAATAGAAATGATTTGACCAAGTATGTTAAGCAAGGCATTGTGAAGGGAACCACAGACGACATTCTCCCTCTACCTTCAGATGTGCATGCATGTAGATGGCTCTCAATACAATACCTCACCAAAGTCTTCCAATTTGGAAAATGGCAAACAGTGAAAATGAAGGTAAGGAAACCACTGGGTGTAAAGAAGTTTAAGACAGACTTCTCTTGAAAATGCATACTTGTTAACTAAGCAAATTGTGTAAGAAGGATTATAGCTACATAAAATAGCTATAGCTCCATAAATTCTTCAAAACTTATAGAAATTAATAAGAACTGACATTGTAAGGTACATCTATTTAATGTTTGAAGCACTGAAAAAGATTGTTTATAAGAAAGGAAGTTTAGCAAATTATAACAGTTCTTTAGCCAGTATAATTTTGGTGACTAAAGAAAAGCAACACCTTTCTGTATTTTTGTGCATTCTCATGAAGGAAGGATTTCCCAACAGTAGGAACAGTCCTTGCTCCGAGAGCACTTACAAAGAGCCCCATCAAATGGATATGATGAGACCTTGTGTAAGACAGCTCCAGAAATGCTGCAGTCAGTGTTTGCATAAAAAGTTTTGTGACACTCAACTTCCACAAAAATGATTTTTTAAAAACTGATTGAAGTCAGGTGACAAACTGAACAAGGTTATGAAAATAGCCCACACATAAGAAAAAAATTCTCTCTCAAAACTACTTTTCTCTAGGCAGAACATCTCTTAGTTGCTGCACTAATGTGTTTACAGGCTCTTCTGAAGAGCCTCTCTCTCCACCTTCCTCCTCCTCAGGAGTGTACTGCAGGGCTCTCTGCAGAAACAGCTTCAGAGTCTTCTGCTGGAACCTGCGGTGCCTGATGGAGCCAACAAGGAAGTAAATGATGGGATTGGCACAGCTGTTAACACAGGATAGGAGTACTATCACATAAATATCACAAATGTTAATAAACAGCAAACTCCCAAACAATTGGTAGAGGAGAAAGTAGATGCCCAAGGGGAGACCAAAGATCAGGAAGAACAGCACTGTGAGTACAATGATCACACACAGCCTGGTCACAGGGATCCTCTGTGAGCCACAGACGATCCTCACCAGCAGGGTGAGGCTGGACACACAGAGAAGCACAAATAAAGCTATTAACCAGGAAGCTGTGAAGTAATTTAATGTCTGACATCGAAAAAAGTCAATACTATTAAACAGAAAGCCACACGCCTCTCCATACAGGAGACTCAAGAGCAGGGACAGAGCCCAAAGCAAGGCACATGTGACAGCTGATGTGTGCCTTGGGCGTCGGCAGCGATACCAGATGGGCCACAAAACAGACAGACAGCGCTCAACACTAATGGCACTGAGAATGCTCAGGCCAGAAAGATAAGCAAATCTTGACAGAACAAAAGACAACCAAGGGATATAGATGAAAATGGAGTAGAAAATGTAAACAACAAGAAAAAGGCAATATACAAACTGAAAGCTCAGGAAGAGAAAGTCAGCCACAGCCAGGTTGAGGATGTAGACAGAGAAGGCATTCCTGTGCATGCGGAAGCCCAGGAGCCACATCACTATGGCATTTCCTGCCAATCCAACCAGTATAAAGACAAAGGAAAGATAAATCGTGGCTTGGAACATGATGTTACAATATGAAGAATCAGTGTAGATGCTTCCATTTCGTGCTGTGATGGTAGTCTCCCAGGTTGAGATGTTGGAATCCTTGCTTACGAAATCTCCACTAGTGTTCCTGGAAGAAAAAAAGAAAAGACATGAGCACATGTTGTGTACTCTGTGATTCCAAGGACTACCTTGTTCTGTGGTAATGAATGAGATGGTTCATGAGGAATAAAAACAGAATTGTAGAGATTAAGGAATTTATCAAATTCAATGTTTCTGGAGCCTTAATTTAAATACAGTTTGTATTTTTGGAACTATCTTCAACCCGTGGCCTGTGCCGGCATAAGAGTAATTGGTGGTCCTGTAGACACTCCATGTCTGGCACCATGTGAGAAAGAAACAGAACCATGAAACCAAATTTCTTTCTGTCCTAAAACTGGTCTTTCTCTGGCACAGGAACTTGGAACCAAAAGCATGACCCTCAGTTGCTCTCAGTTCTGGCAGGGAAAAGCTTTCAAATGGGAAAATATGGATATCATGAAAGAGCGTCATGAAGGAAATGGCAAATCTTACTGTGACCAATATGAAAAGAAGCTGACCTACAGGCAATAAGTCTTTATTTCAGATTTGAAACTAGAAATCATGAAAGTATTTGAAGACATTAAACACATTTTTGTTGTTTGTAGCTATATCACAGTTATGCATTTCTCTGTTAAAACATGGTGAGAAATTAAGACTTTTCACTGAAGAAATGAATATTAATCACAGACCCAATAGCAGCTACAGATTCAGAGTAAATGTTTTGCATATATTTTAGAGCATATTAGTGCCACAAAATACATCAAAAAGGAAGAAAATTTTATTGCTGAACTCTCTGTTAGTAGAAAATTTGTTTGAAAGAATGATTTATGCTACAAGATGACTAATGATGGGACTTGTGATCCCCAAACCCAGGAATGTCCAATAAATCAATGTCCAATAAATCAATTAATGGCCTAAAAGCATTTCAGCCTGGAATTTTGGCATTGATTTGAGGTTAACTGAATTTCTAACCCTTTTACAGAAAAAGAAAAGGAAATTTGCAGAAAGGGAAAAAGAGGGAAAGAAGTGACAACTGTCTAGATAAAGGGATTGTGACACAGAGAATACCAAGTATAACAGAAACCATCTGCCAGGCATGGTAGCTTACTTGTGGAATACCTGAGAGTAGAAAATGAGCCAGGAAGAATTCCATAAGTTCAAGTATAATCTAAATTACACGGTAGGGTACAGAAAAGCCTGGCTTGAAGGTAAAGAAAAGAACAGAAACAAAGAATGAAAGAAATAAAGGAAAAAAAGAAAGGAGAGAGGAAAGGATAGAGGGAAGGAAGGAAGGAGGGATAATCAAACAATAGTAGACTGGTAAATGTACATGAAAAAGAATGAGCCTATATAACTAAATGCAATGGAAACCGTCAATAGTAGAAGACACAAAACAGATGTTGATGCTAAAGGATGCAGGCACATGTGTCATTTTACCCACAAAATGAAAGCTATCCACAAAATAAAAGAGTTCTGCATAAACATCTTAGAGCTGGAAGAGCACAGGAAAATAATGTTCCACATCCTGAGAGAATATGTAACTGTCAATCAAGTGTCACAATCATCCTCATAGAAACCACTCTCATTGTTTACACCCTCTTAGGGTTACCCTAGGTATCCAGCTTAATAACTCACCTTGGTCTTCTCTGCAGGAACTCACAGTCCTCTAGTTAGAAACTCCCTCCCAAATATTGTTCCTGTGGGATTTCCCCAAAAGAAGCTACACAGAAAATCACCAAAGAAGAAATAAAAACATCTTTTAACACTTTGAGAATTGTTCAACATTAGTGGCCATCAGGAAAATTCAAAATAAAGCTGCTTTGAGATTTCATCTTATCCCAAGCAGAATGACTATCATTAAGATTCAAAAAAAAAAAAAAAACAAGAAATGCTGATGAAGAAAGATAAAGTGGAGAAAGAGGAACACTCATTTACAGTTGTTAATGAGAATGCAAACTGAAACTACCACTATAGAAATAAGTATGGTGATTCCTCAGAAAGTGAGATAGAATTGTTACAGTAAGTGTACTTGCTAGTCTCATGTCAAATTGACACAACCTAGCATCATCATGGAGGAGGGAGGTTCTACTGACAAAACGTCCCCAAATATCAGGCTGTACACAAGCCTGTAGAGCATTTTCTTAAATAGTGACTGAGGGGAAGGGCCCAAAGCATTATGAGTGGTGCCATCTCTGAACTGATAGTTCTGAATTCTATAACAAATATAGTTATGTGGTCAGAGACTAAGCAAAACAAACAACACTTTTGGGGAAAAGGTCTCAGAAAGCATCTTACCTTTCCTCCATTATGTTTCCAGGAGGTGGTAAGCTCATCTGTCACTAACAGAAATGTCCGGAGAGTCAGCCGCCAACAAAAAACATGCCTGTAGTACAGAAACAGTAAAGAAAATTGTGCTTGAGTAAGGATAGTCAAGAAAGGAAGAAAGATCTTTAGATTCCTGCACTTGGATTTGGTTAAATGAATCATGCTCTTTTGAGTCATGCTCTTCACAGGACTGTTCTCAATATTCGGTGTGGTCCTTATCTCCTATCCAATGGCCAAGCCAAATCCTATAACTCCTCTTCCTTGGTTGTGTTTCTTTAACCCAGAAGGACAGTAATGCGAAACTGTGTGCTGTAGCACTATCTGTGTATCCATCCTAACTTTGTTTGCAAAACTAGAAAGCAATGAGGCAACAAATATAGATAATGATCATATCTAATGGATTTGTAGAATAGTGACTTGGAATACAACAGGTAGTTGTCTTGATTTTTTGAACTATAATGCTTCCATCACATGCCTGTCTAGGGAGGGACCTAAGGAATGTGTGGCCTTCAGGCTCCTGAGGTACACTCCTTACTGCTAAAAGGCACAAGACAGTTAAGAAAGAAGTCAACAAAGGGCTCAGCACAAGAGCCATAAAAAGAAGTCAAGATGCTGTCTGCAAGAGTGCTGGATAAACATGATTCTGCAAAGGTAGAAATGAAGGAAATGAAAATGGCAACAGAAAATAATAAACCTTCAATAATATGATGCAACTGGACTCAAAACCAACAAGCTTGTGATTTAATTGAAATGAATGGGGAATGCTGTAGGAAGGCTTGTAGCTTATGGTACCTGCCTACTGAGGTATGGCCTCTTATGCTATATATGTGGACGCAGAGCCTGCATCCACCCACTTTTCTTTCTTCTTCCTTTTTGCTGACTGCTCAATCAGATTGTTGGATTGTGAGATTCAACTCTGTTCACCGTTCAAGCAGAGAATTTTGATTTGTGAGTTTACCCCTAAATAAATAACTATCTATTTCTCATTTCTGAGCTAGTGTGGGATTTCTTTCAAGCATCTTTTCATCACCTGGTTTAATCATCAGGGGAACAGCAGTGGGAAGGGCCCTGACTCTGAGAAAGCAGGAGAGAAAGGAGTCAGGTCTGTGCATTTTCAGATGCACCTCTCAGAAGTTCCCGAATCCCATTTGTTCATGTGAAACACCTTAACTGTTTTGCAAAGGCAATTTTTAGTAGCATTAGAACATTTTTCTCTTTTTATTATGCTGACATGTTTGTTTGTATGGGACAATCTGATGAAATATTTACAGATTTGCCTGCTCTGCATTTGGAGGACAGAGCTCAATGTCTTGAGTCTTTTATCCCTTTCCACTCTTGAAGAAGATCTTCCATTTGACACTGGAACCAACCTAGTCAGCTAGTCTAGTTAATGGTCATTCTTCAGGGACACCCAAGTGCTATGAATATAGGCAGACCACAACTCAGCATAAATGTGGGTGATGGGGATTTGAGCACAGGTCCTCACATTTGAAGAGCAAGTGCTTTACCCACAGAACCACCTCGCATGGGTGTCTGGGAGTATTTTATGATGGGGGACTTATAATCTTATCTTTCTCACCATTTAAATGTAATGATTTTTTAAAGAGATGAGATTTTTCACTTTACCTGTTTGTTTAGTTTTTGCTTGCCTGCTTGTTGGTTTGTTTGTTTTATTGTTTGGTTGGCTTCTTGATAACCAGGAAATAATGTGATATGGATTAGATAGTGAAGACATTCTTGTATCCTCAGCAAAACCAGTAGCACAGCACAGTCTGTTTCCTGTCAGACTACCAAAGCAAGAAAGCTCACAACCACATGACCTCATCCTGGGTCCTCTATACTTTGACAAAAGTTTTCTAATGACATTGGAATATTTAGTAGTCCCAGCATTGCAATCCAGTATCCCGAGTCTTATTGTGTTCTAAAAAGAGAGGAGAGGTCTGAGCAGGCCAGGTGGGGCTCTGATAGGACTCTGGGTTAATCACTGCTTCTATTCAGGAGCAGGAGAGGAAACTGGGGCCCTCAGTCATGAAGCAAGGCCACTCTCAGTGACTGGAATGCTCCTTTCTAGAGGTAGAAAGGAAATCATGATGGAGTCATGAAGGTAATAGCACAGCTGTTGCTAAGATGTATGTGAGGATACCATACTTCTTGAGTATGAATTGTCTAAAGGAGTTGAATTGTGGGGGCAGGAAAGCCTTTTATACATTATGCATCCTGAGAACCCACTTCTATGTGAGAGTTATACTAAGTGTTCATAGAATATAGGGTCAACATAAGAATAATGGAAGGAAGGTGGGAAAAGCAGGAAGGAAGGTCATAGAAAGGAGGAAAGAAAGGATGAAGCAGGAGACAGCCTTATTGTAGTTGAAATTTTGAGTCAATGTCACACAGATACTTTGTTAATAAATTTAGTTCTTTTATAATTCCAAACGTATGCACTGTATTCTGGTTACTCTCCCTGTCCTCTTTCCCTGCCACCCTTGCCAACTCACTTATTCCTCACAAATATCAGTTCCATATTCATGACTTTTGATTTTGTTTTGTATTCCAGAATTAAAGTAGGGTCAATATTTGGAACTGGTGGCTCAATGGAGCTGCAAAACTTGGAACACTGGAGCCCACCAGAAATTTGCTAGCAAGCCACTGCTAAGCCACACAAATTAATAGAGGTGTGTTAATTTAAGGTACAAGAGTTAGCCAGAAATATGCTTAAGCTATTGGCCAAACAACATTGCAATTAATACAGATTTCTGTGTGATTGTTTAAGATGTCTGGGTGGCCAGGAAATGAATGAGCAGACTCTATTTACATTAAACCTGGAGGTAGCAATCTCAGGAAAAATGACCAAATCAAATCCAAGATGAACTCTTAAACATTGGTTTGTTGCAGCAAAATTCTGAATTCAGGCAGGAGAAAGGAATCAAGAAGAGAAAAAATAATAAGGGCAAGTAATACAGACAACTAGATAGATGCATGATCTCTTTCTTTATTCAGAATAGACAACTGTCAATCATCCACACAGCTAGAAGACTCCCATACACTGGAATAGTCTGAGTGGAAAGAAGTTGCATTCTCTATCAGTCATGAGAGTCAGGATGAAGTATCAGCCACATGCTCCGCAGTCCTTTTTGAGGGCTGGATAATGAGTGGGTAAACCACACGGTTTCCTTTCCTCTCTCAGGCCACTTTGTCTTTCATACCCTCTAGTCAACACAATTTGTATGTCTATTTATGAACATGACTTGTTCATGTCCTTGTCCCTTTAGTTAAATCAATGTTCTATACTTGTCTGGTATTTGTGGTTGTAACCACAGCCTCTAGCATATGTGCATCAGAGAATCTAAGGCTTAGTATACAAAGATGTTGCTAAAAATCACAAAGTCCAGCATTAGCTCAATCACAGCTTGAGTCACCTGCATCCTTCCTCTAAATTTACCCATTACACAGCTATGAAAAATGTGACTTGTGTGTTGTTCCTGAGAAACTCTTGATACACATGTAAACTGTGACTGTAAACAAGAGGTTTGTAGATACTTGCAGTTAGCCATCAATATGTGACTTCTTCTGCAACATCATGATTTTTAGAATTTAATGTCAGTAAAATAATCCCAATGCTCAGGTGTAGTGGCATTTCAATTGTATTTTAATAAATAAAGCCTGCCTGAAGCTCTGAGAGTAAAACAGTTTCACTGGTCAACCTTACAGATCAGATTATGGTAACACACACCTTTAATCCCAGTAGCCATAATGTCACACACCATTGAATCCAGTAGAAACATTAGTTGCCATAGAAACTGGGAGGTGCATGCCTTTATGATTGTGGTGCAGGCCTTTAATCCAAGCCCAAGAGAGGATTATAAAATGGGAGGAAACAGCTCTCAACAAACTGTCTCATTCTGAGATTCCTGGAGGCAAGATCACCATTTTCAGACTGAGGTCTATGTTAGAGCCAGTGGCTGGCTGTTTTGTTCTTCAGATCTTCAGGCTTAACCCTAATTTATGACCCTGAACTTTTATTAATTGTGTTTCACTCAGCTTCTCTTGATACTAGATGGCAGTACAATATTTGCAGCAGGTGGACAAGGGTTTTTGCAATTATCCACTGGATCCTGTGGTCATTACCTGCAACACAGATTCCTTTCCCCTCAAACAAGAAAGCTGATGCATTTCTGAGTTACATGGGACCAGGAAGATAAGAGAAAATCTCCACACATGTGTCAAGTACTAACAATCTTTCCTTCTGTTTAAGTCCCTTTCCCTACATCCTCCCTACAAAATGCCTACATACTCCCATTTTTTTTCACTTCAATTCATTCTCAAGGCTTTCCACATTTTTAGTGCAGTAAGGTCATTCCTCAGAAGTGACACTACATTAGGAAAATTAAGCACCTGGTAGAAGTTTATAGAAGCCAATTCATTACACAGATAAATTCATAGAATAGTGCCCAAGAATAGAACACTACCTTCACAAACATGGTATTAGAGCCAATTCTAAATTATTTAAACTTCTCTCCATCCAATCAGTCCTGGTACTAAAACTTTCTCCACAGAACAGTTTTGGAAGTGTTATCAATAACCTAATCTTTTCTTAAAATGAGGACTTTGGTAACAACTTTCTGAAGCACTCTCTGCCTGGGAACCAATAGCTATGTCACTTTCCTTCTTCACTATCCTTCCTGTCCTCTTATGACCTAGTCTCATTCCCAACCTTGCAGCAGTCCACTTTTAGGGGACTTTCCTACCTATCTGATTTTACTTTCTAGGGACTCCGATGAACCTCTGGACAGACCTAGTTTTTCCCAATGCCTAGAAATAAGTTTTATCCAGAACACCAATGGCCACACCTTCCAGGGAATCAGAGGCAACCCACAGCCACCACTTTGTTAAAATCCATAGAGTGCAAAAGAAATTAAAGAATGGAATACTCATTCAACAAACACAAATTGGAGCATCAACACCTTGAACCACTACCATTCCAAACCTCAAAGCCAGGTCACTAGTATAAAAACACAAACATTAACAGCCAAGAAAATGTCTTCTCTGTTGAATGTGGAG